TTCTTTCTTTCTGTATTTCTTTGTCTTTTTTATTTCTGTCTGTCTTTCTTTCTGTCTTTCTTTCTGTATTTCTTTGTCTTTTTTATTTCTGTCTGTCTTTCTTTCTGTCTTTCTTTCTTTCTTTCTTTCTTTCTTTCTTTCTGTATTTCTTTGTATTTCTTTCTTTCTGTCTGTCTTTCTTTCTGTCTTTCTTTCTGTATTTCTTTGTCTTTTTTATTTCTGTCTGTCTTTCTTTCTGTCTGTCTTTGTCTTTCTTTCTGTCTGTCTTTCTTTCTTTCTTTCTGTATTTCTTTCTTTCTGTCTGTCTTTCTTTCTGTCTTTCTTTCTGTATTTCTTTCTTTCTTTCTGTATTTCTTTCTTTCTGTCTGTCTGTCTTTCTTTCTGTCTGTCTTTCTTTCTTTCTGTCTGTCTTTCTTTCTGTCTGTCTTTCTTTCTTTCTTTCTGTCTGTCTGTCTTTCTTTCTGTCTTTCTGTATTTCTTTCTTTCTGTATTTCTTTCTTTCTGTCTGTCTGTCTTTCTGTCTTTCTTTCTGTCTTTCTTTCTGTCTTTCTTTCTGTCTTTCTTTCTGTCTTTCTTTCTTTCTTTCTTTCTGTCTTTCTTTCTTTCTTTCTGTCTTTCTTTCTTTCTGTATTTCTTTCTTTCTGTATTTCTTTCTTTCTTTCTGTCTTTCTTTCTTTCTGTCTTTCTTTCTGTCTTTCTGTATTTCTTTCTTTCTTTCTGTCTTTCTTTCTTTCTGTCTGTCTTTCTGTATTTCTTTCTTTCTTCCTTCCTTTTGTTCTTTCTTTCTGTATTTCTTTCTTTCTGTATTTCGTTCTTTTTTCCTTCCTTCCTTCCTTCCTTCCTCCCTTCCTTCCTTTATTTTTTTCTTTCTGTATTTCTTTCTGTATGGACCAGGCCCAACCTGAAGTTCAGGTCTGGTTCGGGCCAGTAATGGTAACTGTAGTTCAGACTCAGATATGGATCTCATTTGTCCTGCAGTTTGAACGTAGCCTTGCTAAGCTAGCAGCAGCAGCCTGTTCAGTAACATGTAGCAGTTTGTTTCATGGCTGAAAATGATGCAACAGCTCTGATTTGTTATGTTTTTTCAACACGTCTTTGCACCAACAGGCAGTGCAGCAGTCCATCCAGCTCCAGCAGCAGCAGCAGCAGCAGCAGATGATGATGCAGCCCATGTATCAGCAGCAGGTGGCCCAGGCTCAGGCTCAGGCCCAGGCTCAGTACGCTGCCATGGTGAGTTACAGCCCGACACCACCGTACGCCTGATCTGCTGAGCAAAACAAATACACATCTGACAAAGTTTCATTTTGTTTGTCCCGTTAAAAGAAGCTCAGAGCAGCAGATTGTATCAAAGACTGAAGCAAATAGTTTGATGAACCGACAGAGAAACACATGGAGACGCAGCGTGAAGAACCACCGAGCTGCATATTTTATTTAATGTCAGCACGGCTCAAACTCACTTCATCCGTTCCAGAAACTTGGCAGCGAGTCGTCTCCTCCCGCCTGTGCCAAACGGCGTCGGAAACAGACGCTCAAACTTCCCTCTGAATCTCTCCAAACACTCGGAGAACTCGTATTTATTCAGCTACTGAATCAAGCACAACAAACGCAGGTCCTCCAAATGTGCGGCGTCAGGGCGGAGCCATTTTTAGCTCCTTTCCCACCCAAACCCCGGACCATCTGCTTCCTCTCAGAAGCAATCTGGTCCGAGCGACGCCACTGGGGACGGAACAGAGGGTGAAGACGAGCGGTTTGTTTCCTCTCAACACGCAGAGGAGGAGAAGCCTCGGCTCGTATTCTCATGGTACCTGCAGAAACGTCTCCTGCGCCACCTCGGACCTGCTCCTCGTAAAAACGGAGTTTACAGAACCCGAGCGTTTCATCGAGCGTCTGATGAGCTCCGTTTAACTGGCGCTTTAAAGACGGCGAAGTGAGCAATCACAAAGTTATAAAAACAGACTCACAGTTTAGAAAATTAATCTTATCACTATTTATTATTTGATTAAGAGCTGCTGACAAGAATTGTTCAAGAAAACACAGTTTATTATAACGGTTACAGCTTCAGCTCTACTTGAAGTTTGTGCTGCCGGGAACGTGCAGAGATGTGTCAGCATTTATAAACTCAACTTTAATAATCTTTGTGTCAAAATAAAGCTTGAACTTCTTTTATCAGAAGTGTCGGCATCAAAGCAGCTGTTGTTTTTTTCTGCATTATAAAGTAAATAACCCTTTAAAATAAATGATGCATCAGTTTAACAAGTACTGGAAACTATAAATTCACATGTGGACGTTACCTGTGCAAAGATTCATGCTGCTGAAATAAACTGGAGCAAAGTTATATTATATTATATTATATTATATTATATTACATTACATTACATTACATTACATTACATTACATTACATCTGTTGTTTTTTTCTGCATTATAAAGTAAATAACCCTTTAAAATAAATGATGCATCAGTTTAACAAGTACTGGAAACTATAAATTCACATGTGGA